CAAGGCCAGACTGAACTTGCATAGTGAGACCCTGTCTCAAAAAGACAAAAATATTTTAAAAAAATTAAAATTAAAATTTATAAAAGTATCCCAAGTGATTCTGATATAATTAGGTCACTTTTCTAGATGAAGGGTTGGCAAATTTTTTTCTGTAAAGGGCCAGCTAACAAACAGTTTAGGCTTTGTGCGACACACAGCCTCTGTGGCCAAGTACTAGCAGTACGTAAATGAGTAGGTACAGCTGAGTTTAAATGAACAGGAAGCCAGATTTGATCCAGGGTGCAGTTTGCCAACCCCCACACTAACATCTTCATCCAATGTTAATGTGCATACTAATCACATGATGATCTTTTCAAAACTGCAGAGTGTAACTCAGAAATTGGGTAGGGCCTGAGGTGAAGTAGTTTCAACAAACAACCAGGTGCGGCTGATCCTAGCATAGCTTTAGCATCAGGTACCAAATTTACCAAATGTTATCTATTCTGCAAGGAATGATTCAACTGTGTTCTATGTGCTTCCATGTATGTAACATGATCCTATTTTTACAGAAAGTAAAAGATCTCATTATATAGTCAGATTTTGCAGCACAAGAGAACAATGAATTGAACAAATACATTTCATGCATCACAAATATAAAGCATGATAAAAATATATGGTGAATGTTTAAATTTTAAAATCTTTCACACTAAGAAACACATTGCCATTAATCCCCCTTAAAATATTCCTACTCACTTTGAACATACTTATCCTGTAATTCTTGTCACTTTCTGAAGCTACTCTGGAAGTGCTCTCTGAGGATTTTACAAGTGAATGTCTTTACAAGGTAGAATCACAGTGAATGCCACTGCTGAGCGCCATCCCGCACAGAAGCATAGAAACATGGCGGCTCGACCCTATCCAGCCAGCCCCGAACCTGGCATGCCACTTCTGGCTCTTCTTCAAAGTCAAAATAACTATTAAAAGTACATGTATTGAACCAATTCAGAATATTAAGGCAGCCACAAATGTTCAACTCAAGACATGAAAGCAGACACCCAGAACTGCTTCAGAAAATAGCAAGAACAAAAGGATCAGTTTGCCTGAAGTGAGGGGAGAATATTTCAAGGGTAATTAAGGGCAATGTGACCTTTACTGGAATAAATATTTAAACATGCACCGTACTGTTTAATCACAGCTCACAAATTTAGCAAAAACTCTTTTTTAAAATTCCTGTTAAACTGGTGTGGTGGCGCATGCCTGTAATCCCAGCACTCAAGAGGCTGAGGCAGGACTGCCTTGAGTTTGAGGCCAGCCTGGGCTACGTAAGCAAGTTCAAGGCCAGGCTGTACTACGTAGTGAGATCCCGTCTCAAAGAAAAAAGCCCTTCTGAATAATGAAAGGACAGACACTGAGTTACATGCTTACCTATAAATAACATGGAATGCTTTCGAGCAAATTTCAGGCCTTCGTTTCTATCAACTTCACGATTTTCCTAAAAAATAAACACAATGATTAAGAAAAGCTACCAAAATATACAACAAAAATTCCAAGTGTCTGCCTTCTTACCTTATCGATTTTATTTCCAACTAGCATGTTTACTATGTCATTTCTTGTACAGTATGTTTCCAATTCATTTAACCAATTATCCAGTTTAACAAAGGTGTCTCTTCTTGTGACATCATAAACTGAAATAAAAGCAGTCATTTATTAAGTAAGCATTAGAAATAAAAGGCAGTAACATTAAATTTCTGACACATAGCTGGAAGCTAACATTATATTGCCAAGTCTTTTTTGTTAAGCCTTCAATGCTTAACAATGACTGTCCTGATCCACATGGACGAAACAAGGGGTTCAAAAGATAAACATAACACTTCAATCTCATTAACTCATGCTGTAGCAGAAATGAAAATATATCCTGTGTCTGATAACTGAAAACCAATTTCACCGAACAGTTGTTCCTGTTCATGATTAAAAAGAGTCTAATAAATATGACTGTTTAGATCCAAATCTTCGTAAAACATAAAATTTTTATATAAACTTAAAAGATACATGACCGTCATAATGTTTTCTTTTTTTTTTCACAAGGACCAGAGTTTACAATTTTGAAAAAATTACAGTACAGTTTGTCTTCTCTATTATCTCTTTCATCTTATATAACCTTACACAAAAGTTTATTAATTTGTTTTCTAAAATTAAACAAAAATTGTGAGATATTACTAAGTCATGATCTAAAAAAATTCTGCATACAAGTGACCAATATTTTTCAACAGTTGTTATGGCTGTCCCCCTAAAGCCTATGCAGTCAAAGCGGCAGGCTTTTCAGGGGTGGCTGAATCTAGTCTGAGATGGATTCATGGTCCAGTGCCGGGATTAAGGGTGTGAGTGCTACTCTTGTCCTAGGGTGGACAGCCTGCATACAGTATAAGGGACAGAAAGAGGCTTGTCTCTCTCACTGCTCTGTTGTCTTCTGCTGCCATCAACTGTTGCCCCTCTTCTGTGTGCCATCCTGCCTTGGAGCCAGCCAATTATGGACTGAAACCTCCACAAACTGCCTTTAACTTCGGGTGTTGGGCTGGGCATGGTGGTGCACACCTGTAATCCCAGCACGTGGTAGGCCGAGGCAGGAGATTCACTGCAAGTTCAAGGCCAGCCTGGGCTACAAAGTGAGTTCAAAACTAGCCTGAACTGCATAGTGAGAGCCTGTCTCAAAAAAACAAAAAAATATTCCTTTGGGTGACGAGTATTTTGTCTCAGCAATGAGAACAGTAACTAAGACAACAAGTTTTCCAGAAATATTTAGCTAAGTACTTTTCCCCAAATTATCTGGAGCATTCATCTGTAGTTTTAATTTTATCTGACTATGAATCAAGTGTTAAGTTCTTTGTGTTCTTTGTTTTGTTTTGTTTTTTGAGACAGGGTCTCACTGTGTAGTTTAGGGTGACCTCTAACTCACTATGTAGTCTAGGCTGGCCTCAAACTCACAGCAATCCTCCTGCTTCAGCCTCCCAAATGCTGAGATTACATGCATGTGTGTGCTTTATTTTATAAATACAATTGATAGAACAAATTCTACCAAGCAACAAATATTCTTCCTTTCTAGACTGAAGCAAATTATTAATTTACTGACTTGTGCAGATCAGTGGTAATAATCCAAGACAGACCAACATATGTGTGTACACTGTCAGTTACATTCTCATTAACATGTACTTTGAATCAAATAATGTAGTTTTATCTTTATTTTTTAATTGCTAGGAAAGGACTGAACAAAACTTTAAAAGTTTTAAATTATTAGTAATGATTAATGAACTCAAAATAACTACAAGCTATATAAAAGACCCTAAAGTAAAATTTTAAAAAAACTTACTATCTTTCCCAAACTATGGGGAAAAAAAAAACCCAATAAATGATATTTTAAAATACAGTGTATTTAAGTAAAAACTTACCTAATATAACACCCTGTGCACCTCTATAGTAGCTAGGAGTTAATGTTCGAAATCTCTCTTGACCAGCAGTATCCTAGAAGGGACAATTATTAAAAGAAAGTATAAATAATAGACCTCGAAAGCCCAACAGCATTATTAAAAATACTATTAATTCACAAGCTCATTAAACAGCTGGAATTTAAGTAATATGTATACTCTAACGAATATTACACAAAATAAAATTAATGAATACTAACAGCTTTAGAAAAATGCAACTCTTGGTAAGGTTTTCTGGCATCTTGGATTAACACTTTTATCATATGCGAAACTCTTTTCATTGAAAGCCATGGTGCTCTTGCTGCACAACCAAATTTTATGGGCATCTTTGTGTCCAACCCCCAAGAACATACTTAACGGGGTAAGAATGAGAATTCTAAAAAAAATGTTTCCATGTTATTCTAATATTGAATCAAAGCTGAGAACCACATACACAGGTGTTTTTTCAGGTAAGGAATTTTTAGGTTGGGTTTGGGTAAGGGTTCCCATGTATTTTTTTTTTTTAAGGAAAATGCGTAATACCAAACCAGTCCTTATTACATGCTTCTGACTTATATTAGGGATCATGAACTACAAAAGATGTACTACATTAGAAAGAAATGTAAATTTCATAAGGTGATCTCATCTGCTATATTACCAGTTTAACTCCAGTGCAAAGAGCAATTCTTGCCATCAGCTGCTCAAAACCTGACAGGGGGAAAAGATGAACTAATCTAACAAGCCCAAACTTCCAGGCCTGGTTCCTTCTCTGTCTTTCTACCACCACCCTTGGATTGTAGCTTCAAATTACCTAAGATTATATAAAGTAGCAGTTGGCAAACTGCCACCTCAGCCCACTACCTGCTTTATTTTGTAAGATTTTATTAAATAAAGTTTGAAACACAGCCAGGCCCATTCATTTACATATTACCATATGGCTTGGTGTTGGGTTGGATTATGTACTATGTGGCCCTTTAAGAAAAAGTTTGCAATGCTGGGCATGGCTGCCCATGTCTGTAATCCCAGCACTCAGGGCTGAGGCAGGAGGATCACCTGAGCTGCATAGTGAGTTCAAGCCCAACCTTAACTACACAGCAAGATCTTGTCTCAAAGAAAAAAGAGAAAAAAAGTTGGCAGCTGACTGAAGTGAAGTAACCTGAAAAGAGTAAAGACATATATCAAACCACAACTTAGCTATGGGTCCCACTATGATAATGTTGCTACAGGACAAGCAGAAAAAGTTAGGGATAAACCTAAGAGGTGACAGGAGATAGCTTCAGCCATACAGGATGTCTTTGGTTGGTTGAGGGAGAGACTGTTACAAGACAACAGAGCATTTGAGGAAATTTGTAGTCCCAGAAACAAAAGGAAAATAACTTTCAATGTAAACCACTTTGAACATTATCTATTCTTCCACAGATAAACTTACATAAATGTAGATTTTTAACCCTTCAGAGAAGCTTTTTCTCATTGTTAAAATCTTTTTAAAAACATAATTTTACATTTTTAAGTACATAATGATCACATTCATCATGGGGGATGGGTACATGCACATAGCACATTCTTAAATCTTTTGTCCCCTCCTCCTCCCCTTCTTCCAACCCTGAAAAAGAATAAAGACATACATCAATCTGCAACTTAGCTATGGATCCCATTGTGATAATGTTGCTACAGGACAAACAGAAAAAGTTAAGGATAAACCTAAGAGGTTTATAAGACAGGAGATGGCTTCCATATTTACAAAAGTTCTATTTTTATTTTTTGATGCATTTCTTTTTTCTGTAAATCCTTTTTCTCTTTCCGCTTCCTCTTCCCGCATGTATTCTTTCCGGTCCCTTCTAAACAAGTTCTTCCTACTTCCTAATCTCTCTCTCCCATTCTGTTCCTTTATGCAGTACTTTGGGTTTCTCACACAAGTAAAGTTATACATGCAGAGTGTTTTTGCTTCCAGGTTTTTTTGTGTGTCTTTTTGAGACAAGGTCTCGATATGCAGTTCAGGCTGGCCTTGAGCTCACTTTGTAGCCCAGGCTGGCCTCAAACTCACAAAGATCCTCCTGCCTCAGCCTCCTGAGCGCTGGGAATTTAGGCATGCGCCACCACACCCAGCTTGCTTTCAGATTCTCATCACTATAGAAACTAGTTCTCTGCATTACCATAATTAAGTGAAGTAACACATTTAAGATTAAACTTTCTAAACAGATAAATACATAAGATAAAAATGATTTGTCTCTTTACAAAAATTTTCTTGGGCTCAAAGTTTCTTACAAAACCAGCCTCTGATATTAAAATTACTCAATTTGCATATTTACCCAAGTTTTCATGAACAATAAAATAAAGCTACATAAAGACTTATCATCTAAGCCAATTATAATTTTAATAACATGATACAGGTTGATATTTTGATTTAATAACTAATAAAATTCCACATGGATCCTCAGTAATCTTTTTGATCACTACAATCAAGGGATCAAAACTCAAGTTTACAGGAAAAAAATCAACTGGAAATCATGATGATGTAATTTCTATGTTTACAGCATCACTTTATAAAACAACTGGGAATGTGTATTTGAAATTATATATATATAAAGTGTTCATAGCCTTAGCTCAGTAACTATTTGAGAAGACCTAATTCATAAAACCTAACCGAGTGTGGTGGCACACACCTGCAATACCAGCACTCGGAGGCTGAAGTAGGAAGATCACTGTGAACTGAAGGTTAGCCTGGGCTACATAGTGAGTCCAAAGTCACCTTGAACTACACAGCAAGACCCTGTCTCAAAAAAGAAAAATAAAACTATTATATTCTAAAAGGATGTATCTCAGCAATTTACCTACATGCAAAATATGATTAAATTAGCAACATTCAAACTACTCAGTATACACTTTACTTTAACTTTTGGAATTCCATCATCTTATGCATTTAAATCTGAGTACTACAATCTTCTTTTTTTTTTTTTTGGTACTAGAAATCAAACTCAGGACCTTGCACTTGCCAGGCAGGCACTTATGTCACTGAGCTATATCCCTGGACCTGAGTACTACAATCTTAAGAGAAAAGAAAAAGTCATATTCAAAAGGTAAGATTCAGTTCTGGAACACAAAATTTGGAAATTTAAAACTTAGCTATTTTTCCATACACAGAACAGTTTCGTTTTTATAACAAATAATTTTGGGCAAGACCAAGTGTAAAATAATGCAGTCCTAAAATGTTTTTGCTACAACAGGAAAACAGCCATTTTATTTGCATAAGCAAAGTCTGCCCATAATTCTAGTAACTGATTTCTAGAAGGCAGAAAGTGAATGAACATGAACTTTATTCACTCAAGTTTTCACTGAAATCAACTTCAAAAATGGCTTTGATGAAACACAAAATAAAAATCAAAACTGCAATTCCAGTTAAGATAGCCATAATACCTAATGTTTTAAAAGTAAAGACAATAGCAAAAATGCTCTAATGTTAAAATATTACATGACTTTGACATTTTACATGTGACTAGTCAGATCAGACATTTAGTCTTGACATTTTGGGTTTACTTATAAAAATCTTAATACTTGGGGCAGGATACAAAACCCTGTTGCAACAGCAGTGGACCAGGATTTACCATAACTATAGACTGAATAGTCAGAAGTTGAGGTTTTGCTTCTGTATGTTTTAAAAGTTAGGAGTATGTGGTAAGAGATATAACATCTTTGTAAGATAAACCAAGCATACTTTCTTGTCTCAAGCTGTGTTTTTGCTTTCTGATGGAGTAAAGAGAGAAGAAATTACTAAAGACAGGATGGATAAATCACAGGCTAAGAAAAGACCAAATAGAACCAAGAGAGTGGAAGTAAGGCAAGGGTGTAGGAAGGGGCCACACAAGGTAAAACCTCACTGATGCTACTTAAGTCATGAAGAGTGTGCACCTGCAATAGACAGTGGAGGTGGAGTTGTGCATAATGATTCTATTTGACTGATCCCAGAAATCTGCAAGGGAGAGAAGAACTCACTGTATGTCTGTAACTAAAACCACAGGGTTGGAGAACTATGGATTCATATATTTCTAATATTCAACAGAAAGGCCTTCCTAAAACACAGCATGACACTCAGTCATGAAAAAAATAAATTATCCGAGCATATAACAACTAAAACCTTGGTACAGCAAAAAAAGCCCCCGTCTTTCATTTTTAACAAGATTTGAATGTACATAACAAGCTGGGAAAAAAAAAGAATCTGTACTATACATATGACAGAGTCAGTATTTTACTCATGCATGAGAACACACTCCTATATTCATTTTAAGATTAATGATTTTTTGAGGAGGCAGCCAAGGAGAGAAAACAAAGAGACTGAGAAAAAGCAGGTGCTTTTGCTGCAGCACTAAGAGAAACAGACCCTAAGTCTGATTCTCGGGGCCCAAGAAGAACTCGACAACTGCATTCATCGCTACCGTTGTTAAAAGCCAGGCCACCTCAACAGGAACTGCCCTGAGAGGCCCCCTGGGCCACGCCCTGAATGCAAAGGTGACCACTAGAGATCAGTCTGCCCTCTGAAGTGGAGGCCCCAGAGCTCAGACCCATCCTACCAGTTAGTCCAGCAGGAATGAGGGGGGCCGGGACATACTCTGCCTTCTCCCTCTGGCCAGACTGTCATCTCCATGGAGGAGCCCCGGGTAATCATGACTACAGAGGAACAACAAAACAGCCTGTTGCTAAACACAGGTGCAAGTCTCTCGGTTCTTCTTTTCAGTACTGGCCTTCCTTCCAGCCATCACACCTCAGTGAAAGGAGTCACCGGTGAGGAGGTAATATGCTATTTTTGACAACCCTTAGGCTGTAACTATTTGTTAGATCCTTCTTGCATATCTCTGTCTTCCTGAGAAACCACTTTAAAGATACCACCGTGTATTACAGGAGCCATTGATATTTTCCTACTAATCTATCCATAACTTTGTATTGTTTGTATTGTTCCTATCCTATTTCGTAAATGGATGTATGTTTATTATGTTTTTCCTACAACAACCACTGAGAATAGTTAATGATTATTCAATTGGTCACTCATGTATAGCTCTATTTATT